AGAACTAGATTCTGACTGGCTGTGAACTGACACTTGCTTATTTTCAGTTCTGTTCCTTGGCCAAACAGGGCCTGAATTGTGACTGCTTTTTCGACTACCCTTTGAAGGTCTGTACCCAGATTGCCCATAGTCATATCCTGCACTTCCATAGCTACCGTGTCTCCATCTTTGACTTGATCCATGACTTTGTCTTCCACCTGCCTTTCCTGACTGTCCATGAGTAGTTCCCTGTTTCCCTGTCCCAGAGGATCCCCACTCTCCATGCTGAGATCCAGCCTGGCCATGACTGGACCCTGGGTGTCCCTGTGAGCCTCCGGAATGCCATTCACTGCCACTGGACTCCCTGTGACTAGATCCCCTACTTCCACCACTGTGAGATCCTGACTGTGCTGAATGGCCATGATGTATGCTGGTGTGTCCTGACTGTCCATGAGTAGTTCCCTGTCTCCCTATACCAGAGGATCCCCTCTCTCCATGCTGAGATCCAGCCTGGCCATGACTGGACCCTGGGTGTCCCTGTGAGCCTCCGGAATGCCATTCACTGCCACTGGACTCACTGTGACTAGATCCCCTTCTTCCACCACTGTGAGATCCTGACTGTGCTGAATGGCCATGATGTATGCTGGTGTGTCCTGACTGTCCATGAGTAGTTCCCTGTCTCCCTGTACCAGAGGATCCCCTCTCTCCATGCTGAGATCCAGCCTGGCCATGACTGGACCCTGGGTGTCCCTGTGAGCCTCCAGAATGCCATTCACTGCCACTGGACTCACTGTGACTAGATCCCCTTCTTCCACCACTGTGAGATCCAGACTGTGCTGAATGGCCATGATGTATGCTGGTGTGTCCTGACTGTCCATGAGTAGTTCCCTGTCTCCCTGTACCAGAGGATCCCCACTCTCCATGCTGAGATCCAGCCTGGCCATGACTGGACCCTGGGTGTCCCTGTGAGCCTCCGGAATGCCATTCACTGCCACTGGACTCACTGTGACTAGATCCCCTTCCACCACTGTGAGATCCTGACTGTGCTGAATGGCCATGATGTATGCTGGTGTGTCCTGACTGTCCATGAGTAGTTCCCTGTCTCCCTGTACCAGAGGATCCCCACTCTCCATGCTGAGATCCAGCCTGGCCATGACTGGACCCTGAGTGTCCCTGTGAGCCTCCGGAATGCCATTCACTGCCACTGGACTCACTTTGACTAGATCCCCTTCTTCCACCACTGTGAGATCCTGACTGTGCTGAATGGCCATGATGTATGCTGGTGTGTCCTGACTGTCCATGAGTAGTTCCCTGTCTCCCTGTACCAGAGGATCCCCTCTCTCCATGCTGAGATCCAGCCTGGCCATGACTGGACCCTGGGTGTCCCTGTGAGCCTCCGGAATGCCATTCACTGCCACTGGACTCACTGTGACTAGATCCCCTTCTTCCACCACTGTGAGATCCTGACTGTGCTGAATGGCCATGATGTATGCTGGTGTGTCCTGACTGTCCATGAGTAGTTCCCTGTCTCCCTGTTCCAGAGGATCCCCTCTCTCCATGCTGAGATCCAGCCTGGCCATGACTGGACCCTGGGTGTCCCTGTGAGCCTCCGGAATGCCATTCACTGCCACTGGACTCCCTGTGACTAGATCCCCTACTTCCACCACTGTGAGATCCAGACTGTGCTGAATGGCCATGATGTATGCTGGTGTGTCCTGACTGTCCATGAGTAGTTCCCTGTCTCCCTATACCAGAGGATCCCCTCTCTCCATGCTGAGATCCAGCCTGGCCATGACTGGACCCTGGGTGTCCCTGTGAGCCTCCGGAATGCCATTCACTGCCACTGGACTCACTGTGACTAGATCCCCTTCTTCCACCACTGTGAGATCCTGACTGTGCTGAATGGCCATGATGTATGCTGGTGTGTCCTGACTGTCCATGAGTAGTTCCCTGTCTCCCTGTACCAGAGGATCCCCTCTCTCCATGCTGAGATCCAGCCTGGCCATGACTGGACCCTGGGTGTCCCTGTGAGCCTCCGGAATGCCATTCACTGCCACTGGACTCCCTGTGACTAGATCCCCTACTTCCACCACTGTGAGATCCAGACTGTGCTGAATGGCCATGATGTATGCTGGTGTGTCCTGACTGTCCATGAGTAGTTCCCTGTCTCCCTATACCAGAGGATCCCCTCTCTCCATGCTGAGATCCAGCCTGGCCATGACTGGACCCTGGGTGTCCCTGTGAGCCTCCGGAATGCCATTCACTGCCACTGGACTCACTGTGACTAGATCCCCTTCTTCCACCACTGTGAGATCCTGACTGTGCTGAATGGCCATGATGTATGCTGGTGTGTCCTGACTGTCCATGAGTAGTTCCCTGTCTCCCTGTACCAGAGGATCCCCTCTCTCCATGCTGAGATCCAGCCTGGCCATGACTGGACCCTGGGTGTCCCTGTGAGCCTCCGGAATGCCATTCACTGCCACTGGACTCCCTGTGACTAGATCCCCTACTTCCACCACTGTGAGATCCAGACTGTGCTGAATGGCCATGATGTATGCTGGTGTGTCCTGACTGTCCATGAGTAGTTCCCTGTCTCCCTGTACCAGAGGATCCCCACTCTCCATGCTGAGATCCAGCCTGGCCATGACTGGACCCTGGGTGTCCCTGTGAGCCTCCGGAATGCCATTCACTGCCACTGGACTCACTGTGACTAGATCCCCTTCTTCCACCACTGTGAGATCCTGACTGTGCTGAATGGCCATGATGTATGCTGGTGTGTCCTGACTGTCCATGAGTAGTTCCCTGTCTCCCTGTACCAGAGGATCCCCACTCTCCATGCTGAGATCCAGTCTGGCCATGACTGGACCCTGGGTGTCCCTGTGAGCCTCTGGAATGCCATTCACTGCCACTGGACTCCCTGTGACTAGATCCCCTTTGTCCACCATGATGTGCTGAACTGGATTGTCCTGTTCTAGACCCATGCTGGTCCAAGCCAGAAGACTGACCTGAACCAGACTCATGTTTTCCAAAGCCTGAAGACTGACCTGAGCTAGACCCGTATTGTTCAAAGCCAGATGACTGACCTGAGCCAGACCCATGTTTTCCAAAGCCTGAGGACTGACCTGAGCTAGACCCGTGTTTTCCAAAGCCTGAGGACTGACCTGTGCTAGACCCATGTTGTCCAGAGCCAGATGCCTGACCTGTGCTAGACCCGTGTTTTCCAGAACCCGAGGACTGACCTGAGCTAGACCCGTGTTTTCCAAAGCCTGAGGACTGACCTGTGCTAGACCCATGTTGTGCAGAGCCAGCTGACTGACCTGTAGTAGATCCGTGTTTTCCAAAGCCTGAGGACTGACCTGTGCTAGACCCATGTTGTCCAGAGCCAGATGACTGACCTGTAGTAGATCCGTGTTTTCCAAAGCCTGAGGACTGACCTGTGCTAGATCCATGTTGTCCAGAGCCAGATGACTGACCTGTAGTAGATCCATGTTTTCCAGAACCTGAGGACTGACCTGAGCTAGAGCCATGTTTTCCAAAGCCTGAGGACTGACCTGAGCTAGACCCATATTGTTCAAAGCCTGAGGACTGACCTGAGCCAGACCCATGTTTTCCAAAGCCTGAGGACTGACCTGAGCTAGACCCATGTTGTCCAGAGCCAAATGACTGACCTGTAGTAGATCCGTGTTTTCCAGAACCTGAGGACTGACCTGAGCTAGAGCCATGTTTTCCAAAGCCTGAGGACTGACCTGAGCTAGACCCGTGTTTTCCAAAGCCTGAAGACTGACCTGAGCTAGACCCGTATTGTTCAAAGCCAGAGGACTGACCTGAGCCAGACCCATGTTTTCCAAAGCCTGAGGACTGACCTGAGCTAGACCCATGTTTTCCAAAGCCTGAGGACTGACCTGAGCTAGAACCATGCTGTCCAGAGCCAGAAGACTGACCTGAACCAGACCCATGTTTTCCAAAGCCTGAGGACTGACCTGAGCTAGACCCATGTTTTCCAAAGCCTGAGGACTGACCTGAGCTAGAACCATGCTGTCCAGAGCCAGAAGACTGACCTGAACCAGACCCATGTTTTCCAAAGCCAGATGACTGACCTGAGCTAGAGCCATGTTTTCCAGAGCCTGAGGATTGACCTGAGCCAGACCCATGTTGTCCAAAGCCTGAGGACTGACCTGAGCCAGACCCGTGTTGTCCAAAGCCTGAGGACTGACCTGAGCCAGACCCGTGTTGTCCAAAGCCTGAGGATTGACCTGAGCCAGACCCATGTTTTCCAAAGCCAGATGACTGACCTGAGCTAGAGCCATGTTTTCCAGAGCCTGAGGACTGACCTGAGCCAGACCCGTGTTGTCCAAAGCCTGAGGACTGACCTGAGCCAGACCCATGTTGTCCAAAGCCTGAGGACTGACCTGAGCCAGACCCATGTTTTCCAAAGCCTGAGGACTGACCTGAGCTAGAGCCATGTTTTCCAGAGCCTGAGGACTGACCTGAGCCAGATCCTTTTTGGCCATGACTAGAGGACTGACCTGAACTAGACCCATATTGTTCAAAGCCTGAGGACTGACCTGAGCCAGATCCATGTTTTCCAGAGCCTGAGGACTGACCTGAGCCAGATCCTTGTTGGCTATGGCCAGAGGACTGACCTGAGCCAGATCCATGTTGTCCAAAGCCTGAGGACTGACCTGAGCCAGACCCATGTTTTCCAAAGCCTGAGGACTGACCTGAACTAGACCCATGTTTTCCAAAACCAGATGACTGACCTGAGCTAGAGCCATGTTTTCCAGAGCCTGAGGACTGACCTGAGCCAGATCCTTTTTGGCCATGACTAGAGGACTGACCTGAGCTAGACCCATATTGTTCAAAGCCTGAGGACTGACCTGAGCCAGATCCTTGTTGGCTATGGCCAGAGGACTGACCTGAGCCAGATCCATGTTGTCCAAAGCCTGAGGACTGACCTGAGCCAGACCCGTGTTGACTACATTTTGAATATTCATTTGATGAACACCCTTTTTGATGAGAGTTCATAGACTGTTTACCAGACCCTTGTTGACCACAATTAGAAGACTGACTTGCTCCAGACCCATATTGACTACCACAAGAGGACTGCCTTGATCTTCTTCCCTGTTGACCACAGTTAGAGGACCCATATTGACTACCACAAGAGGACTGCCTTGATCTTCTTCCCTGTTGACCACAGTTAGAGGACCCATATTGACTACCACAAGAGGACTGCCTTGATCTTCTTCCCTGTTGACCACAGTTAGAGGACCCATATTGACTACCACAAGAGGACTGCCTTGATCTTCTTCCCTGTTGACCACAGTTAGAGGACCCATATTGACTACCACAAGAGGACTGCCTTGATCTTCTTCCCTGTTGTCTTCCACAGTTCTGTGGTTGACAACATGCAGGGGATCCATGTCTTCTTCTATGACAAGGAGATTGGCTACAGGAGCGAGGCTTACATTGACCATATCCAGAGGACTGACCTCTTGAGATACATCTACGACCTTGTCCTCCACTATTTTGTGAATGACAACCTGACTGAATACAACCTTGCCCTCCATATCTGCCTGCCTGACAGGAATTGGAAACATTTTGTCTTCCTCCACACCCACTTGAGTTGATGGAATCACATGCATAGCTTTGTCTCCCACTATCTCTTGAACCTTTAGAACCAGATGCAAAAGCCTCTAATCCATGTGACAGACCATCATGACCTTTTCTTTCCCCACTCTTAAATCCAGATTCAGATTCATATTCCTCCCCAGATTCCCTAGAGGGGCTCACTGAGTGACCAGAGCTAGACCTATGGTGCCTTTTTTCAAATCCCTCTTGTTTCTCTGAGCTAGATAAACTACCTTGCCTTCCCAGCCTTTTGGAAAGGGACCTATGTCTATGACCATGCTTCTCCCCGTCACTCCAACTTGGATTTTTAGAACCTGATTTCTGTCCTGATGTATTTTCGTCTTCTTCTTCCGTTTCACTTCCTTCCTTTTGGTGCCGGTGACCATGACTACGCTTCTGCTTCTTTGACCCTGAAGCTTTGCAGTATTCTTTGCTGAGAACGTTGTTGCAGGCCATAGCCAGCTTGAATACCATCAGAAGAAACTCAGTAAAGTCCAGTCTTCGGTCATGATCTCGATCCAGCATATGCATAATGACCTCCACTGTGTCTGGATTATCTGGGTTCTGTATATGAGCAACACACCAAAGGAATCTTGATCAGCCTAACTCACATACTCAGCTAAAATAATCAGATAGGACTATGAAAATTGTAGATGTTTGACATGAAGTATTTTTAATCCAATCAAGGATTGCTTTAGGCTAAGGCAGACTAATAGGACCCAGCAGGTATAAACAAGTAATAAAAACAATAAAGACTATTGGAATCCTCAGAAGAATGCAGTTCAAGGACCTAAGTTAGAGAACTGGGTACTCAAATCTGGCATACAGGAAGGAGTTGGATAAACTAAGTTCAGTACTGGTGTGTTTTAGTTTTGTATACATTTAAAACATATGCTAATATATTCTATGTTAGGATCTATAAATTTTGAAGTTAATAGCTGCATCCTTTCCAAGTAGATGGGGTGAAAAAAAACCCATGTATCTTATTTTCTGTTTTTAGTTATCCTGACTACTTGGTCAACTGCCCCTGTACATGACTTCTCTTTCTATAGTTTTTCTTCCCCATTTGATAGGGTAACTTATTAATTCATGTCTTAGTACAGATTTCATTTTCTGCTCTTTCAGAAGTCTGGGGGTCCACATGGTGGAAACATACAAGAAAATAACAGACACTTTTCTAAAAATAAACACTGCCTCAACAGACTTTCTGATGTCCCAAAAAAGTACTGCTTATAGAGTTTTCTCTAAGACTACTGGAACTAATATCAGCTAATATGTGGTTATATAACAGAGAATGTACAGAACTGTAGGAACCTTTAGTTCCAGCACATGGTCCTCACCTTCAGAATTGGCCGAAACTCTTTTTCCAGAAGTTCCTTTAGATCATCCTTGCTCAGTGTGCCACATTCTCCATCTTGGTTGGTATATTTGTAAAAAACATCAATGACGGTAACAACACTTCTTAAGAGGTCGGTCATCTTTTTGCACGTTTAAGTGAACCTAAAGAGAAAAACAAAAGAGGCTATCATTCATTTTCTTTCCTTTTAATTTATAGGCAGTTCTATTTTTAATAATTGTCATCGTGAGTTTTCAAATCTCTCGTCTCTTTGAAACCTAAAATACCTCAAAAAGTAAAGATGGGTCAGGATGATCCAAAACCTTTCAACACAGTGAAAAATAACTTCATTAACATTAGTTATGGACATGTTACTGGCTGAACTGGGACTAAATCTCAGGTCTCCCATGGCCTGGATGAATATATTCTTTTCTTAATGTCTCAACACTTTATGTACTTTGGTGTCCTGGGTGTTGTCGCGGGGTTTCCAAAGTTTCTAGAACTGCCCAGACATATTTCCCCGGTTTCTCTTTCTAGTTTCACTGATTTTCTAGAGGCAAAAGCAACAGACCTTCTACCAAAAGCTAAACTGGACCCGTAAGACCTTCAGAAAAAAAAAAATGGGCAGAGTGAGCCAATGCTTTCTTGGCTTTCAGAGGCCTGAGGTAGCTCCCTGAGATCTTAGGAACTATCCTAATCTCAGCCCTTGACCTAATTCATTCATCAGGGAGAAAGGCTCAGAAATGCAGGCAGCAATTTGACTAGTAGATGATTTGATCTTGGAACTGACACTGAACAAGGAAGGAACTCTACAGCAGTGCCAGCCTTCCCCCATCTGAGCTAGGCAGTCCAGAAAAGATGACATGCGAAAAGACTAGGAAGGAAGTGTGGAATGGCCTGTAAGAAGACAAACTTCCATTGAATTACTCTTCTCCACAATGACAAATGTATTCTAAAAAAAGGCCCCAGAATAAATTAAACTAACCAAACAAATAAGCAAATTAATATATATTAATATATAATATATATAAATTAATATATAATATATATTATAAATGACAGCAATTAGAAAAAAAAGATACACTGGTAGAAACAGAAAAAAGGAAGAAAAAAAAAAGAAAAAAAGAAGAAGAAAGAAAGGCCAAATATATATTAACTCTGCCTTAGCTCAGATTCTTGGATTTCTGCTGTGGACAATGACCAACCAAATATCCATCGAGTATAGCTGGATAAATTTTCTCTCACCTGGTTCACCAAAGGAACAAGTAGGAAAAAGCCTGTTGAAGCTTGCAGGGTGACAATGATTGAGATAGTGGCCCTTATATAGCTAAACATGTGGGTGCTGCCCTCTGTGGGATGGACTGATTAATTTCCAATCAAACCTAACTCCACCTCTGTCCATGTTTACCTTCCTACTTCTTTGCATTCTCATCTGTGAGATGATTGTAGAAAGGCTGGTATTGAAGCCCCTTCCAACATGAGGACATGCTGCAGGGCACTTTTTCTCAGGGCCATGAACTTGTGAAAAGCAGATGCTGTGTTTTAGAGGACTCGTGTAGGTCATCCCCTTTATTTAGTACCACGAAGGTAGCAAACTGTAAGGTTCTTGGCAGGTATGCAATAAATGCTTATTTAATTGATATGAATGTAGGTGCCCTGGCCAGGTGACTCAGTTGGTTGGAGAGTCATCCAGTGAACCAAAAAGGTTTCAGGCTTGATTCCCAGTCAGGGCACATACCTAGGTTTCCGGTCTGATCCCCTGTCGGGGCATGTATGAGGCAAGCAATCAATGTTTCTCTTTTATATAAATTCTCTCTCTCTCTCTCAAAATCAATAAAAGCACACCCTTGGGTGAGGATTAAAAAAGAAAAGACAATGAACGTAGGTCATTAGACTTACCTAACATGTCTTTTTGCAATAATTTCCATTTATTGAGAATTTACTATGTGCAGGATATTATGCTAAATACTTTTCACATTTCATCTCATTTAATTTTTAGCACATTTCTATGAGATATGTATCTCTCCCCCCCCCCCCCCGTCATTTTACAAATGAAGAAATAGGTTCAGAGAGTATGCAAGTCATCTCTAAGTTCATACAATTAATAGGTGGAGGAACCAGGGTTTGAACCTATAGCTACCTTATGACAATGCCTTTGCTCTCAATCTTTATACCAGCTTATCTCTGTGTTTTGATTACATAGGCCTATTATGCAAAAATTATGCTTTGTTTTAGGAGTGTCAGGTCCATTCAAACACATACACAAAAAATGAAAGAACAATAAAAGGAGTGTTGTCATCCAGGAAGAGAAGAAATGTATTCTCTGGCCCTTTGAAGGTTCTTTTCTAGACTATAAAGGCATAGTTAATGGGCTAAACACAGAAGTAATGCTTTCAAATGTACTCAGAGTGAATTTAGAGTGAACTTTCTTTTGGGGCTTTCTTTTACCCATTGGTAGTCCGGCAGCTTTGGAGAATGCCACTTATGTACATAAAGTAAATCAAATATAAAACCTGTGGAAGCCGAAACCGGTTTGGCTCAGTGGTAGAGCGTCGGTCTGTGGACTGAAAGGTCCTGGGGTCGATTCCGGTCAAGGGCATGTACCTTGGTTGCAGGCACATCCCCAGTAGGGGGTGTGCAAGAGGCAGCTGGTCGATGTTTCTCTCTCATCAATGTTTCTAGCTCTCTATCTCTCTCCCTTCCTCTCTGTAAAAAATTAATAAAATATATTAAAAAAAAAAACACAAAAAAACTGCGGGAAGCAAACATAGTCAGAAGGTCATAGTAGGCAGGAAGAACCAGCTTTTCTGTTCTTTGCCACCAGGTGGTGGTGATGATGATGATGAAGATGATGACGATGAAGATAGCAGTTATCATTACTTAAATATTTACTTATCTTTTAGACTAAAAGGTTTTACATGCTTATCTATTTATCCCTCACAATAACTCCATAAAGTCAGTATTTTTATTCTTACTTTACAAATAAATAAATGAAAGCATAGAGAAATTTAATAATACATCCCAAATCACAGCTTGTATGTGGCCGCTCTAGGATAGAGACCCATGCGGTCTGATGTGAAGGCCCTGCACTTAGCCACATATATACCACATATGTGGGGTTGATCAGTTCCTATCTGGGCACTGCTTCAGGGGAGCCATCATATGTTCACCCCAAAGCTGGACCGTGCCTAGGACTTAGCAAACACTTAGAGTATGTGTGTTCATAAAATGTTAATGGCCACACTACTGAGCTATACCCATTGCTCTCATAGCCAGGGAGTCCTAGGCCAAAGTGACCACACGAAAGTTATGTGGTCCCTTTGATGTTATGGTTGTTTTCAATTGTACCCATTTTTTGGAATTATCCTTGTGTTTGTTGCGTGACTGTCTTTCAGATCCCCAGTCCCCACATTGAGATTTTAAAGCCATCTTTGCACTGCAACTCCAGGGTTCTAGGTCAGAACTTGGAAACCTGTTCATGGTTCGACTGCTCACAGAACTCTAGCATTC